TTTTTTGAAAACTACCATTCATTTGAGTATCTAAACTCTTATTCCAACCTGACCATGTTGCCAAAATCTTTTGTCATTTTTACAACTATAGTTCTTGCTTTAACCATGAGCATGATTACTCTTGGTATGATTTAATATTTACTTTTAATGTTATGTTTCATGAAATTTGTATTTCTCGAACTAACATACGAATATATTATTATTTTATTAGCTGGTGAAGATTAAGTTATTATATTCTTTAGGATTATTTGATAACTTATAACTTGTATATTTTTCTATCAAATTAGACGATAATTGTGATTGCGATAGTTTTAATGCCAGAATTAGTGCACTCGAACAAGTGTTCAATGATGCACAAAACGGGTTATATAATGTTTTATATTTCTGATAGTTTGACCATTAAATTTTTTATTATTCTAATTTTTATTCTAAAATAATCCAGTATTGTTACAAACAAACTTGTTGTCAACGAAATTGTTATCGATCGCTGGAAAATTTCATATGAATCAAATGCGGCGGCCTTGATCTGCCGTGATACGGAAGCCGATGGCGATAAAAGATACGCCATGTTTAATGATAAACACATTGATCTCTAAATATACCATTTTGATATCGTTTTATAGATTCTACAATATATAGCTTTTTTAAACACTTGGAAAAATGATTTATACGATTTTTTTTCAAATCTTTTATTTCTATTTTTCCATTTCGTTTGCATATAGATACTGTATATTTTGATAATTGTTTTGTTTAACATTTCAATTTAGTATAATATATCTCCACTCTTACAGTTGTTTCTGTTGTCGTAGCTAAAGTGGCTGTGGCCCAAAATGAACATATCACAATAGATAATTGTACAGTACACCGGGAATTTGATAAGGTGCATGCTTCAAATTGATCTGCCACTTGCATTAAAAATTCTACGTACGTACGTACGTACTTCGGGTTTTTTTGATCTTCCGTTATGTGGCCATGACATGTACATGTTGCGGAACATTCAAATTGTTTCGAGAAATCAATAGAGTTTGCCCTTAAACACAACAAATGATTAGGCCATTCCTAAGATACCTTCGTTAAAAAGTCATTGTTATGGTATTAAATTTAAAATTTTATAAAATTTTATAAAATAATCCAATCATTTAAAACATCAAGAGCGATTTCAGATTATATAGATTTCTAGAACTAGAAAATTGTGCTTAAATGATAAATTGCCATATATTTCTTGAGAAAATCATTTAATTTTTGAAAAAGAAGTTTAAAAGTTATTAAAACTGTTAAAACATAGGATTTTCCGCGACAAATATAGTTGTGTAATCGCGTGGAAAGATCGACAAATCTTGTTTAGTTATATTTAGTTATACGTAACAGTGTACTAAAAGTTAAATATTTTGATAAAAAAAATTTATACTGTTATTTTTTGCAGTAAGCTAACTAATTTTGGTTATAGTAATAATCTATAGTTCAATAGTTGCAATAAGTAAGAGACCCCTGGGTTTGGAATGATTTTGCATAGTAAATGTTAACGCTTCTTTGAGGCTTCTTTAAGATTTGTGAAATGTTACACTCTTAAATTGTGTAAATACAACTATAAGTGGCAGACCAATCTGAAAATGAATACTATACTATATGCACAACCTTATACGTATGGATAGTCGACCCACCCAAAATTTAAAATACGTATAAAAGCATGTTGCAAATATCATTAATAATTTTCAAATTTCTCATGTTAGTTCGAAGCCGCTTTTATTTTTCGTATATTAGAATAGATTAAACTTGGTTTTAATATATGAACAATAAAACCTATGTTAAGAGAAATCATATTTATTTTACAATACATATATAATTTACATTTAGACTTCCTAGTTTTCACTTAGCGGCACTCAAGTATTAATTACAAATTTACCAATTTATGTTTTATTTTAATCTAACAGACTACTTAATGACTTTGTTTAAATTTAATCATGCATAGCTACTTATATTTAGATTGTAATAGTTTCTAAAATTTTAAATACAGTGTACCTGTATTATCTCATTCCGTTTTTTTCTCTATTTTTTTTTGGCGATATAACACAGTTAGTTATAACTCGATACAGTATAACCTCGATTCAACGAAGAATTTTTCTAGCCAAACTATGGATTCATTATAGTAAGGTATCACAATATATTGAAACCTTGATATATCGAACAAACTCCAGAGCTTGTTATATCGAGGTTAGACTGTATATTGAACATATAAAAAAAGGAAATTTATTTTTCTTAAATATGGGAGGGATATATATAAGATAACGAATAAGAGGGTATATAGTCCAGTGAAGATATAACCCATAGGTACGACTGTAGGTTTAAAAATTCTAAAATTCTGTATAGTTCCTAACATTCTATATAATTTTATAAAAATTCTATATGTTCCTAAAATTTTATATAAATTTCTAAAATTATATATTAAACATTATACTTTCATAATTATAATTTTAGGCATAAATTCTATATTGTACATAAAAATAAAAAAAAGCATAAAAACTTAACAGCGTATAAGAAACGAATTTTCAAAATGTCAATAATAATATAGTCATTTTTGTTTTTATTCTATAGATTGCAGATAAGCACACCAAAAAATCAATGTCTATTTGTGAAGGTTCAAAAAAAAAACAAATGACTTTTAGAAGGTTTTTTCTCGCGTGCACATGACCATTACCAGGCATTACGTGTATCACCTTTACTGTGGCCCAACCGCTTTATTAAAAGTGGATCCAGAAAAAATGGTATTAGAGAATTGAGATGTTTCTTGATTTCCGACTACTTGATTTCCGGCTACTTGTTCTCCCGCAAACGGATTACTACCGTTTTGTAAAGCATCATATTGCTCATTTACACTATGGTTATCCGAAGCTGGGTATATGTGATTTTGATTCGGGTTCGGGTTCGGGTTCAGATTCGGATTCGGATTTGGATTTGGATTTGGATTTTGTGGATTACTCATTGTAAAATATTATAGTAGGTATAGTTCTCCTAGTTATTTGTAATTGTTATTATTATAATTGTTACAGTATAATTATAATTGTTATAATTGCTGTAGTTGCTATTACGGTTGTTGCAGAGTAGTTGTGTTTGTTTTTACAGTTATAATAAAATTTTGACCACAATTTAGTTATATATTAGGTGAAAGTGTTCAAAGTCTTTGACGTTTTCGAGTTATTTAGTTTTTATGGTTGCCGTGTATGCTTTATTTATAATTTTTTTCAACATATAACGCTTTTAATGACTAAATTGTCGAATAATAAATTATTTAAGACTCATAATCAATTCTAACTCCGTATCTGTCCAATGACTTATCATCGGATTTTCCTGAAAATCATTTATGTATCATTTATATAATACGCTATAACTTAATTAGCATGATTATCATTAATTCATTTGTATATGACTGGATCCATTAATTCCGAGAATATTATGGTACCGTTTAGGAAAGAAATTATATAGCACTATAACGCGGAAAAATATTGAAAATTAATATAGAATTTGAACAATTGTGTGAAATCTGATTGTTATATATATTTATATAAAATTGAAATATGATAATCTCTATGAAATTCCAAAAGACTTTAACAAATCAATACGTACAGTGACTCATTTTTGTCAACTAAATAAATAAAAATTAATCCATTTTTTGGTTAATTACGTAAAACGATCGGGTAATTCAGGGTAGTAGCACCCTGTACCGCATATTAGTTGATGATACTGATCGGTTATTTATTAAAATTTTATTTAAACAAAGCAGCGTTGTGCCATTTACGCATAATATTATAAACAAAAGCGCGCAATCAAATGTCATTTTGAAAATTACTATCAAGTTTTATTATCTTACTATGTCTTACTGCAAAAGATACAAACGATCTGTAAAATTATTGTGAAAATGAAACCTTTGTTATCTTGGATAAACCTGGTGCAGGATCAAAATGCGTACGAATAAAAAAAAAGCACAAATACAAGAAAGTTAGTCTCTGGATCAGCCTTAGAACACTAATTGATGATGATGGGGCGCATTTATTATTTTACCGACTCGCTTTCTAACTGCAAATTTTTAAGAATTCCCATTTGTAGCTGATAATGAATACACATTTAACGTTAACCTTTTAACTTTATTTAAATTTGGAAATTGAAGATTTTCGGGATTGACAGTTACATTTCTGTGCATTTATGGGTAACAGGACAGAACGACCAATCAAAATAGCGAAATTGATATTAAGCGAAATCAGTCTTTTTATTAATACTGTATAAAATATAATTATGCGATATTTA